GTAGCTGGCAAATATTTTCTCCCACTCTGTGGGTGTTCTCTTCAGTTTAGAGACCATTTCTTTTGATGAACAGAAGCTTTTTAGCTTTATGAGGTGGATGTGGATAATTTGTGAACAAAATATACTCCCCCAATCCTGACCTAGCTGTTTTATCTTTAAAACTTCGTCCTTTTAAGTTGTATTCTTTATGCAGCATTACAGGATGAAAGGATTGATCGTGGCTAAGTGAAAATGGACATTTCTTTTTTTGGCAGTACTGGAGTTTGAACTCAGAGCCTTACACTTACCTAGCCAGGTGCTCTACCACTTGAGCCTGTCTGCCAGTCCTTTATTACATTGGGTATTTTTGAGACGTGGTCTCATCAACTGCCCAGGCTGGCCTCAAACTTCAATTCTCCTGATCTCTGCCTCCTGATCAGCTAGGATTACAGGTGTGAGCCGCTAGCACCTGGCTTATAGATATTTCTTTTGCTTTGTTCTGTGATGTGGAAACACTGACTATTGTCACCTTTTCTTCTAGGAAATTATGCAAATATTCTCATGAGATTCTTTCAGAAGATAATTTCCAAGTGCTGAAAAAACATGAGCTCTCTGGGCTTAACCAAGAGGAATTAGCAGTGCTCCTTGTCCAAAGTGACCCCTTTTTTATGCCCGAGGTAAGTTATGATGATACCTCCTCAGGGACAGTGGGAAGAGTGTGGTGATCAGTGTTGTATCATGGATAAGTTGGAGTAGGCACAGAGAAAACTCAAAGTCAGCACCAGGGCTCTTCAGGTGGCAGTCAAAGCCCTTAGTGACCTGAAAGGCTCCGGAAATTGCCATCCTATTTGAGGAGTTTTAAGAATTTGAATCTGAGGCAGAGGCAGGAAGATTTCTAATTGGAGGTCAGCCTGAGTTGCATAGCAACTTCCAGCCCAGTCAGGCTCTATCGTTAGAAAGAAAAAAGAAACAAGATAATTTTCTTTAATTGAGCATTTGAGAAACTTTCTACCTAGCAGAGATCAAATTTCAAACAGTTGCAGGTAAAACACATATACTTTTAGTTTGCAAAGTAAGTTGATATCCAAATCTAGACTTCTGCTTTTGATGGTACTGGGTTTTGAACTCAGAGCCTCACGCTTGCCAGGCAGGCACTCTACTGCTTGAGCCGTGCTTCCAGCCCTAGACTTTTCTTTTCAGACTCCTTTTATGATGTAGGCCTCACTTTGGGTCTTGTTTGTTGCTGGCCATCTGATCTTGATTCTCCTAAAGATTATCAAATTCATAAATATCTTTTTAAAATTTATTAAGACAGGGTTTTACTATGTAGCCAGACTGGACTCAAACTCACTATACTGGCCTCAAATTCTCAATTGTCTTGTCTCAGCCTCTGAGTGCTGGGCTTATAGGTGTGTCTCACCACACCCAGAATTGCTGTCTTTTAACTAGTCTGCAGACCTTTTCTGCCTCAAATAAATCATGATTGCACTTCATTAAAGACTGGAATATGCCTGTATTTCTCCCCCCTCCTGCTTGGTATGCCTCTGCTGTCTTCAGAAACATTTGTGGGGGCTGGAGGTGTGGTTCAAGTGGTAGAGCGCCTGCCTGGCAAGCTTGGGGCCTTGAGTTCAAATCCCAGTACCACCAAAAAAGAAAGAAATGTTTGTGGTTGACCTTTCGTTAATGAGCGTGTGGCAGCTACCCGAAGGTGTCTTGTTTCTGGCTGCTCACTCTCCCTTCCGTAGATCTGCAAGAGCTACAAAGGAGAAGGTCGGAAGCAGCTCTGCAGCCAGCAGTTGCCCTGCGAGAGACTCCATGTCTGCGAGCACTTCACCAGAGGAAACTGTAGTTACCTCAACTGCATCAGGTCTCACAATCTGATGGACAGAAAAGTGTTGGTCATCATGCAGGAGCATGGCCTGAGCCCAGACGTCGTGCAGAACATCCAGGACATCTGTAACAACAAGCACCAGCGGAGGAACCCTCCCGGGGCCAGAGGTGCGCTCTTCCCTGCTCTGATTGTGTCACTTGCACCTGTAACCGCTCTCCCTTCTAAACCCTGACCACACGCACGCACCATTTTAATACACTTGCAACCACGGCACAGATGTGATGTTACAACTCCCTCTTAGTGCTTAGCACTGGTTCCCCAGATTTAAAAAAAAATGCATGTTATTTTTCTGAAACTGATTTTTTTTTTCTTTTTTGGAAATGGTTTATAGGTTATAAGGAACTTTTACCCAAAATACCTCATGGTTGTTCCTCACAGTAAAACCATGAAGAAAGGCAGATATATTAACCCCACGAAAGGGGTGAGGGAAATGAAGCTTAGAAATTTTTTAAATGATTGCAGTATTGTCATACTGGGGCACATTGTGACATTTCCAAAAGTGCTTACAATATATATTAGTTAAATATAGCCTCTCCATCTTTCTCCTTTATCTCCTTTCTCCCCATTCTTGGCAGTTTCAACAGGTCTCATTTTTCCAGGGCTTAGAAATTTTAAGCAACTTTTATTGCAAGCGGTGTTACATCAGAATGTGGGGTATTGTAATGAATGAATAAAAAGTCATGTTTTCACACCTCACACCCCTGGAGAGCAGCAGAACTTATACCCGTGTCCCAACTCCACCTCTCACCTCTTCTCCCCCACCGTAGGGCTCTGCACAGGGGAGCATGTGGAGGAGAGGGGGTGCGGTGAGGTTTCCCTCAGTTTGTTGTGTGAGAGAGCCATACTTGTTATCACGTCTAGTTAGTTTGCCGAGTTAACTGTTTTGTTGACGGGAGGAGGATATTTTCTTCTGCTGTGTTACTGTTGCTCCCTCCTTCTCACACAGTTGGATCTCTCTCTCTCTCTTTCTCTCTCTCCCTCAATGAGCACACCAGCATACCTCACACATATACCTGCACATCTTTCACACCTTCTCCACATAGACGTCACATACATGCACACACCACACACACTCCGCACACTTGCCCTTTGCCCCTTCCTTCCTCCTTATGACTCATGAAGAGAGGCCATTGCCATATCAATTTTGGTGGTAAACTTGGGCACTGGGGGACTAGATGAAGAAATAATGGGAATATTTCTGACTCAATTGAAACCATACCTTGAGTGCATGGTTCCATTTTCTGCTTGAGTATGCTGAATCCTCAGATGGTCAAGTACACCCATGCTGCAATGGGAAAAGTCTAAATGAGTTTTGGAAAATGCTCTCAAATTTGTCCTCAGACCCTCCATTCACCATGCAGTGAAAGTTGGCTCAGAACCAGGACATAGAAGCAGCCCCGCCTAAGGGGCTTGAGGAGAGGGGGGCTCCTTCTGAGTCCCAGGAGAGAAACAGAAGACCACCAGGGTGCATCTCTTGTCCACTGTGATTACCCACTGTTACCCACTGTGATTGCAGAATGTCAGGATTCCTGCTTTCTCATAAGGTCTTTATGCACCAGATTAGGACAAGTGACTTAACAGAACTTGGGTAGCAAGGCTGGAAAAGCAAAGAGGAGGAATAGAGCTAGGAACTCAACAACATGAACTGTAACTTTCATGATTTGGCTTTGTTTTGGTTTTCTCTTCCCAGGTCCTGCCATGAATCGTAGGGTTGTGACAGCTAGAGGGAGAAGCAGAAGTAGAGACCGACTCTTGCAGAACAGTCAGGAAGTTCTCTCGTCTGCCTCAGCTTCTGATCAGAGGTCCTGCACGTCCAGCCCTGACATCATTGTCCTGGAGGATTCCCTGGAGGATGAACCTCTGGACAACCTCACCCACCAGTTCAAGTATCTGGGGAGTGAGGACCTGGCCAAGCCTTCCTCAGTGCCACCTAAGGCTGCTGGTCTTGGAAGGTCAGGTCAAGTGGGAGCAAGCCAGAGGTTTTCAGAGAACGGTGGTCAAGATAGCCTCTTTCATAAGAATCATTCTGCCTCAACACCAGGTCAAGCTGCTGTCAAATCTCCTCTTGGTTCTGCACATACAGTTGAAGCCATGACTGCCAGGAAGGGCCCTGGCATGCTTTCTTCAGACCCTATGAATGTCAAGGGCAAGAGTGGGACTCAAGACATCCAGCATGTCCCTCTTTTCAATAATAATGTTGATGAAGTGGCTGCGAATATACCTTCCATAAGATCTTTAAATTACAGACCCACCACCAATGGTCAGAGAGAGATGGCATTGTCTAGGAACCATCAGAGCAAGGAGGCTACTCCCCAGGATCTCCTTACCCATCGTGACCCGGAAGCGACATTTCCGAATAGTACATACAGAGGGAACCCAGTCTGGGCTTCTACATCTACCCAGAATACACCAAGTCACTCCAGTCAAATCGTGGATGAAGCTACTGATGGAGATAAAACTGGCGTTACAGGTTTTGGCTTAAAAACAGCAGCCACTGGGGGAAAAGATGCGTTCTATTCTGGAAGTCAGGGTCTGAGAAGCCAGGTCCCAGTCACCACCCCTGCACAAGTCAACAGAGCTGCACCCTATGGGACCCACAGCCAGAGCTCCATCCACGCCACTGTGAGCTCCACCAGGGAACTCTCAAGGAGGACCCCAGGCTCTGCTCAGGGTAAGCCACTAGACAGAGGGACTCCCTTGTCCCTACACAGAGACAGAGACAGTCTACACTGAGCAGCTGTGGCTGGCAGCTAGAGTTGGAGGGTTGTGCTTAAGGGGTGGCACTGGGGAAGGAACTGATGTATGGAAGTGATACATTCACCTTTCAAGAATCAGAATGGTGCAGCTATAGTTTCTGCCACAACTCTCATTGGCCCTATGTCTATGTGTCATTCTGTGGAGGTGCTGTCTAGGCGCTCAGGAGCAACTTGTGAATTCCAGGAAGCTTCTAGAACGTGGTCCCCGTTTAGATATTCTTTCTCATTGTGAGACCAGGTGCTGCTTTTTTGGTTTAAAATATGAAGACCAGCATTCATGAAGTTTCTTTCATTTCACAGGTTCTATAGCTGGTGTCACAAACACCACTTCTAGGATGGATGATCTTGACTCACAGGAAATTTGTCCAGACCATCTGTCCAAGGGCTGTCAACTTAATAGTAAGTTACCTAAGACTTTCTAGAAGCATCTACCTTGAGCCATTGTAAAAAAAAAAAAATGCTGCGATGAGGATAGGTACACCAATATTAGCTGAAAACCCTTCTTTTACTTCTTTTGGGTAAATACCCAGATGTGGAACTGGTGAATCATATGGCAATTCAATATTTAATTTTTGATGAACCCATTTTGCACAGTGGCTGACCATTTTTCATTCCCACCAGCAATGTGTGAGGTTCAAACTTCTCCACATCTTTTTATTAGCACATTCTCTCTTCCCTCCTTCCTTTCCCCTCCCTCCCTCCATCCGTCTCGCTTTGATTTCTTTCTTTTTCTTTTTTTTCTCCTTCCTCCTTCCTTCCCTTCCTCCTACTTCTCTCCCTCTGTCCCTTCTCTCTTCATTTACTTTTTCTCTTCCTTTTCCTTTCTTTCCTCCTTCCCTCCCTCTGTCCCTTCCTTCCTTCTTGTAGCCATTCTAACAGAAGTCAGGCAAGGATGATAATGAATGCTTATGTACTTTTGAAAACCAGCCAAGCCTCAAACCCACTCTATGAGTTTCCCTGTAGTGCTTTTTTTGTTGTTTTAAAGAAGTCACACATCTTTTGGACATTTCAAAAGTGACTTAGCATAACATAATGAAACATTTGAAAAAGAACTATTTTCTGAATTCCTATATTATAGGCTTCTAACAATTCTTTATTCAGCAAGCACTCATTTAGTGGCCATCTTTTGCATCACCAGCCCCATGCCACTCTGCAAAGGGGACATAAACCAAGCGATGATGCAACCTTTTCTTTAACGTGTATAATTAAGGTGGGGCATCAAAACAGTCACAGAGAAGAAACTGCATAAAATAAGTAAATACATGCTATCGAAACCCAATCTGGGTTTTGGATACTGACTATGGCACTTAAAAATACAAGAGCAGGATCAATTGGAAGAATCTTTCTGGAAGAGACAAAGTTTAGCCCCGGCTTTGAGGAAATACAAGGGGTTTCCTATATTAATATATTCATTTGGAGTGGGGGAAGATATAGAAAGGGTAGCTAAATTTATAAGCATCTCAGATTTCCATGTGGGTAAAGTGACTGCTTTCTGATGAGTTTCCATGAGTAATAATGGAACCCAAATAGTGGATGTGGGCCAATGCCAGTAGGAGCCTACGGGAATAAAAATATAGACAGAACATAACTGGCAGAGTGTGAGCAGCAGGCCTTGATGGGGAAAGTCAGCAGTGAACTTAGTTGAACTGGTTAGCATCCTGCCCGGACCTTCAGCCCTCCTTTCTGTCTTTGTAGGCAGCTGCAATAAAATCCACTTCCACCTGCCCTACCGGTGGCAGGTATTAATTTCAGACACCTGGATGGACCTCCAGGCCATGGAGAAGATTGAAGAGGCCTATTGTGATCCCCAAACTCACATGTAAGTTGGTGGCTGGATCCACAGCATCATCCAAGGCAAGCTTATGCTAAGCTTGTGGTGCCCTGCCTAAACCTGGCTGGTGCTGGGGATTCTGGAAATATTAGCAACTCAGTGACGAAGTCATTTGTTTAATTGGTATCTGTCAGTGGGACCTGTAGAAAAACACAGTCAGAGACTTAAGAACTTTTTTTTTTTTTTGATGGTACTGGGGCTGAACTCAGGGCCTCACACTTGCTAGGCAGGCACTTCACCACTTGAGCCACTCTGCCGGCCTTCTTAACAGCTATTAAAAGTACTACATGATTCAAGTGGCTTAATTTCACATTTTTAAAACATGATTTGAGTAATTTCATGTGGTTTCAGTGCAAAAATTTGTTGTATACTTTACATTTTCTACTGTCTTCCCTCCCTCCCCACCCCCCACCTTGGCACTGGCCATTGAACCCGAGCCCTCGTATTCCAGCCCCTCCTCCCCAGCCCTTGTGTTTGTATTGTGTTTCTTACTTTGTCGGGGCTGATCTAGAACTTAACCACACTCCTGCCTTTGCTTCCTGCCCCACTGCTTTCTTTATATGTGCTGTTTTTTCTACTCTAGCCCTGCTTCTGCCTGGGCTGAAATGGATGACACCCACATGACCATATTTACCTATGATGTGCAGGGATGTAAGATGTATCAGCTTTTACAAGGGAATTCTTTTGGGGGAAATCTACACATAGGTTCATCCTTCTCATCCTATGCAGATTTTAGGAGCTTTTGGTAGTGATTCTGTGGTGCTGCATTTTGCCACTAGAGGGCAGCACCAGCCCCTCCTTTGTAGATAATACATCCTTGAGTTTCTCAACCTTGGAACGATTGACAATTATTTATGGAGGGACTGTTTAGCAGCATCTTGGCCTTTGTCTTGATTCTGGGGAGCACCATCTACACTCCCGTTGTGATAACCAAAATTGCCAAATGATACTGATATTGCCAAATGTCCCTGGGGATCAAAATCATTTCTAAATGAGAGCCACTGATCTAAGAGGTTTTTGCTCCAGCAGAAGGTCCCAAACATTTTCGTCATTTCTTTTTTCTCCCCTTGTTTTGTTTTTGAGACATGATTTCTGTATGTAGCCCAGGTTGACCTTGAACTTGTGATCTTCCTGTGCCTCAGCCTCCAAAGTGCTGGGGTTACAGGTTTACAACTGTAATTCTCAATACTCTGAAAATGTACTGCAGATCCCAAAGAATTTCTGTTTATCATACTAAAAATTAAAACAGAAAAATTAAATATTTATTGATCTATTAAATAACAATACTCATTACATGTTTACGTAAGTAGCATTTCCATAAAACTATGTATAATTACGTTAACATAAATAACATTTCTATAAAACTATATGTAATGACATAGTTATATATTTACAAAAAGCTACATGTAGATAACTATAACAATGACTGTTTTCCAAAACAAAAAATTTATTGAGAATAGTCACATTGTTCTATATTTTTGTAAATCTCTTTCACGTCTAGCCTAACGGAAGATGACTGGATCATCTTGTCTACTTCTTTTTATTTTCTTTCCTTTCTTCCTCTTCCTCCTCTTCCTCTTCTTCTCCCCCTCCTCCTTTCCCCTCCTCCTCCCATGCATGCTAGGCAAGTGCTGTGTTCCCTGAACCACAGCCCCAACCCTCACCTCCGGTGCTTTATTCAATCTGTTACGAATCATAGATTTCGAAGCCTCAGTCAACTCCACTGTGTACTCTTGAGAGTGAAAAAGGCAAATAATGTCTTAATGTTGAAAAGAACTTTGTGCTAACTCTTTCAAAGGGTCTCAGCCTGCACGTTAATAGCTATTTAAGAAACAATAAATGATTTAAAAAAAAAAACCTCTGAACTACTGCAAGTTTCTAACTCACTTTTCTAACCTTGAGCCCATCAACTGTTTTGTGGACAGTTTTATATTAGTTTTTTTTTTTTTTTTGATGCTGGGATCGAACCCAGGGCCTCACGCATGCTAGGCAAGCATTGTGGACAGTTTTATTTTGCGGTATTTTTGAGGAAGAATGTCTCTTGTGACACCATTAAATGTACAGTGTAGGCAACTTACTTTCCCTTTCTGTACTTCAGTTTTTCTTTTTCTTTTTTGCAGTGTTGGGGCTTAAACTCAGGGCCTTTACCTTGAGCCACTCCACCAGTCCTTTTTTTTGTGATGGATTTTTTTCAAGATGGGGTCTCGAGAACTAGTTGCCAGGGCTGGCTTTGAACCTTGATCCTTCTGATCTCTGTCTCTGGAGTAGCTGGGATTACAGGCATGAGCCACCAGCACCTGGTTCAGTTTTTCTTTTATGTGGAAGACCTGGAGTTGTAGAAAGAAAATGTAGGTTTGATCCCCAGCATCAAAAGCAGAAAGAAATAAAAGAAGTAAAAGAATGCAAAGATCCTTTCTTTCTCATAACTCAGTGCTCTATGGTTCCATTGAACGTAGGAACCAGAGGTCAGTGAAACATTTGTTACCTCTAGATTTCTCTTTCTCAGCATTTTGGTTGGATACCATGAAATCAATGTACAGAAGATGACTTGTGATGTTAACCCTATCCGGCGCCTCTCCACTCCTCCCACTCTGTCTGGCACAAAGCCGGCCAACTCTGTCTTCACCACCACGTGGCTTTGGTATTGGAGGAGTGAGTCAGGCAGATGGATTCAATACGGCGTAGAGGTGAGTCCCATCCCTCCTGCTAGGAGACTCCTTTTTATCCTGGCCAACTAAGGAAAAGGTAAAGAAAACAAACAAACTGTTAGCAAAGTATTTGAAGTCTAGTCTACATGCCTATCCATGGAGAGTGGGCACAGAGGAGGAAGTGGTGGTTTCTCTTTTACTTCATTTATAGCCATGTTTGCATTTTTACTCTGTGTTCCAGGAGGAACCGGAAACAGCGTATATTAATTCTCTAAGGCACTTCATGAAGCATGAGTCAGCCACACATCCCTCTATCCTTGTTCTCAGGGATGGGGGAGCCTTGAGATGGCTTGTGCATTAATGCAGACGCCACACAGCAAGAGGATGGGTGGGAGAAGTCAGAAGACGATGGAGATGGTGGGATGGTTCATTGGACTAGGGGATGTGACAGTTTACTCAAGCAACGAAACCACATCGTATAGAAAGTCACTTCAGAGTTTGGATCCAGAGGGGTTAGGAGGCCCGGGATGAGGAGATTCCAGGCTGACCCACAAAGGTGACATAGTATTAAGCTCTAGAAGTGTGGGTAAGCCAGGCTTCTGCTCTGTGTCTCTTTTTCTGATTCATAAATAAAAAACAAAGAGAGAGAAAAGAGGGAGAGCAAGATATTGAGTAGGTAATGAAATCAGAGTAGTAGAACGAGAAAATAAAAGCGAGAGGTAAAATGAAGCCAGAGCTGAAAAGGGAAAGGGAAAAGTCAGGTTCCCACTGTGAGTCAGTGGGCCACCGAGATGAGTAGCGCAGGCAGAGAAACAGCACGCGTTACTCCATCCCCAGCACCTCTGTGGATACACTCCAGCTGCTTGGGACAGGTGCCACTACTTTCTGTCAGGGAGGCAGTGTCCCCTCCAGGACCTCAGAGGGGACAGTGGGTACTAGGGAAGCGGGGTCTTACCATCAGTTCAGTAGACCGTAGTTTCCAAAGTGTTCAGCAGCAGGTGCAATTTTTTTCAAGTCATCTTTCATAGAAGCTAAACAAGCAAGAGCTTCCTTGTGAGATACGAAAGGGGCCTGGTGCCTGATGTCAGGTCCTCTCTGCTCTCCCATGGTGGCCCAGGTAGCATCTCTGGGGACAGATCCTGCACACCGGTGTGTGAAGACTCAGATGGTTTTGAACCTCGTACGGGTTCTTTTTCTGTTCAAGTCAAGGGTGTTGTCAAAGTGTAGTTCTATGAGGTGATTTTGTCACGTGCCTCTGGGAAAAGAATTACAAACCCAAATTAATTAAATTGGTTAAAATAAAAATAGACTATGTTAGATACCTGTGGCTCATGCCTGTAATCCTAGTGATTTGGGAGACTGAAATTGGGAGGATGGAGGTTTGTTGCCAGTCTGGGCAAATAGTTTGTGAGACCCCCATCTCCAAAACAACCAGAACCAGAACAGGTGTGACTCAAGTGGTAGAGCTCTTGCTTAGCAAGCATAAAGCCCTAAGTTCAACCCCAGTCCTACACACACACACACACACACACACACACACACACACACACACACACACACGCCACTCTGGCATGTTGACTATTTGAGTTAAAAAGCACTTGAAAAATAGCAGGTACAAGAACATCATTCTGACCTTTTGTCTCTTTTCATGTTTTTTTTTTTTTGGGTAATATTGGGGATTGAACTCAAGGTGTTGTGTTTGCTAGGCAAGTGCTCTACCACTTGAGCCATGCCTCCAATCCTCTGTTGTGGTTCACAAGGAACAAGTGTTTCACCACCATTTTATTGGGAACCCCTGTTATGAGGACCTTGGATCCAGTCTACCTTGGTCTGCTCTACTGGTCACAGTGCGGGGACAGCTGAATGGAGGCTTAGCCTCCATGCCCCTCCCCCTTACCTACCCATTCTGGCATTCAAAGCCTTCATATCTGCCTTGAGAGTAGATCTTCATAGCTTTGAGTATTCCTTCACCTTTTATTATGGCCTCAGTTGGTGGCAAGTCTAAGTCTGTTCTCAGTGTTGTTGCCTGGCTGGAGGCTTACTCTGGTTGAGGGCACAGAAGAGATTGGATCATTTACATTTGGTCACCGGTACACCTTTTGGAGCAGCTGGCCTTCTTTACTTGCCTTCACCACAGCCCTGCATCATGCTGGACTTGAACTGCCCCGATGTTTCATTTCACACAAGAGTTCATTGTCAGGTTCTGCTAGATCATAGGTGCAGACAGGCACCGCAAGAGAGGTGGCACCCTTATTTTATGGAAGGAGGAAAAAGAATATTGCAAAGACCTGCATTTTTCAGGCATCCACCAAGTGTGTAGTCAGTTTCTGCAGGATGGAGTGCTTTTTCTCAGATCCCATGATGGCTCCTGATAACTTTTTGGGTCCCTCCTTGGCCAACCTTATAGTCTGACTTGGGAAGCAAGATAGAAGAGATTTCCCTGGAGTATGACCCATTCTGTATTTTCAATTTTATTTAATTAGCACAACAATCAGCCCAGTTCAAACATCGACTCATCATACCTGGAGTCTCTGTTTCAGTCCTGTCCCAGGGGAGTTGTGACATTTCAGGCAGGCCCACGGAACTACGAGCTGAGTTTCCAAGGTGAGTGCTTGTGTTTGGCAGTGTTGTGTGCTGTTGCAGTCCAGTGCATTATGTATATGTGGGAGTGGGGACAATGGGTATACACTGCCACACCCAGGGTCAAGGTTGTTTTTAAGAAGCAAAGCGAGCAGTCTTGGGAAGTGGCAGCTGCCGGCTGTCAGACTGGTAGTCCCGAATCCTGGCTGACAAACACCTGCTGTCCCACCCCAGGAAGAGCACCTGGCCTCTCTAGGACCACTTCCCTCATCTGGAAATCAGAGGATTGGACCAAGTAGTCTCCAGGGATACCTCAAGCTCTGCCCATTTGGGGGGGCAGCTGAAGTTTTAGGGACTGATGACTACAGTGGGAGGTGGGCACCTTCAGAGTTTTAGAAACTTGCTGATCCTTTCAGGCACTGTCTCCTAGGTCAATGATTTCAGCCATCACATTGATTGAAGTACTTGCCTTCCGCCATGTTTATTTGGACCGTTCTAGAAAGGTCTCCTGGTTAGCATCTTCCAGCCTATCTGCTGTGTTTACTAAGAACTCAGGGCAAGAACTGTCCTCGCTCTGCAAGTACTGTCCCTTTCACACACTGTTGGGACGCTCCTTGCGTGTGGTCAAACACTTGTACTTTCAGGCCCAGCCTTGAAGGTGTTTTGAGAGAAGTGAGATTTTATCAGGTCCTTGAGCTTCCCAAGTGGTGCCTGAGATCTGAGTCCTGTACCACTTAGTGTGTGCTAATGTAGCTGTCAAGGATCATTATACCAACTATTTTGGAAAGAGATATTGTTACATTATATATTATGGTATTAAATAGTTTGCCCACTTTATACTCTTTTATACTCTTACTAGCAATGCATGATGACTTACTTTTTTAAAAAAGGATCACTCATAACAGTTTGGAGCCCATTCAAATGACATTTCATCATTTGATGTAAAAAAGAAAAAAAATCTTCATGATAAAGGTCCCACTTTCCATCTCATAATCACGGATGTCTGGTTTAGGGCAGCTCAAACGGATGATAACCTTGTTATCTGGCTGCCCTCCATCACCTCTTTTACTATCTGACTTTGATTTAAAGATTAGCCGGGTGCTGGTGGCTCAGGCCTGTAATCCTAGCTACTCAGGAGGCAGAGATCACGAGGATCGTGGTTTGAAGCCAGCCCAGGCAAATAGTTCATGAGACCCAGTCTTGAAAAAAAGCCTTCTCAATAGAGGGCTGGTGGAGTGGCTCAAGTGTAGGAGCTGAGTTCAAACCTCAGTATAGCAAAAAGAAAAATAGATTAATTCCTAAATGTCATTCACCACTTTCCATTCTGAATCTTTTTAATAAGGACAGAGAAGGATAGAGGGTGTTTTTGTTTTGTTTGTTTTGCTTTTTATCCTGAGCAGTTTTCATTCAGAAGGATTGTCTCTGAACAATCCAGTGTTAATAGCCTCTGAAAAATGAGTCATTATCTAGGACTGTTGATTTTTGTTTGTCTGATTTTTTTTTCCTGTCTAAAGGGATGATTCAGACAAATGTAGCTTCCAAGACTCAAAAGGATGTCATCAGAAGGCCGACATTTGTTTCCCTGCGGGACGTGGAGCGGATGAAGAGAGGGCCAGAGTAAGTGTTCTGAAGCCTTGCTAGCTGGCAGAGGTCTGAGGCGTTGGTGCCTTGAGCTTATGCAGTCACTTGTGCATCTGGACCCTGTCTTTGGAAAGTTCCTGCTTGTGTCACACTGCACTTTCCTTTGACGTTGCCTATGATTGCACAGAGATTGTGCAGCAGCTTGGAGTGACTGAAAGAAGACCAGACAGAGGGGCTAGAACAGCGGCTTAGTGGGGTTGTGTGTTTGTGGTGTGCATCAGGTCCCATCCCCACACTGGAAAAGAAGGAAGCAGTAGAGCAGGAAGCCAGGCTTTCCACCTGACTCCCGGGGATTTTTGGCAAGTCCTTTAGTCCTTGGGCCTCCACTTGTGGCTGAATGGCTGGATGAATAGGTGGGCCTAAGGACTAATCAGTGTGCTAGGTTTTTGTTTTGCTGTGAGTCCTTTGGTGTGTCTTTGGCTGTGTCGTGTGATTTAGCGAGGATGGGAGCCTGAGAAAAATGGGTAGAAGTGCCACTTGATAAGGGAGAAAGGTCACCTTGTCTAATGGAGGTGGCTTTTTTTTTTTAAGTTTTATTTTAATTGACTTATAATGTTTGTACCCATTTGTAGTAAAGGGGGATTTTTTAAAAGTAATTTTGCTGTGGGAGATTCATTGTAATGTTACTGTCTGCTCATGAAACTCAGTAAAACCTACATTGTTCTTAAAAATTCTTGGAGTTGGACTTTTTTTTTCCCCTGAGCGGTTAATATGTGATTGAGTAAAACAAGTTTCAACGCAGTGAAAAATCAAGTTGTTCTGCATTCTTTTGGTTGTAAGAATTCAAGGTGTTTCATGAAAAAGGACGTTACTAAAAGGATAAACCTGAGGAAATTTGGAAAACAACAGCTCACAAGAATTCTGGAACAAGCAGAGGAAGTGAGCTATTTCGGCATGAGAGTCAGTTCCACTTCTGATACACTGGCCTGGGACGGAGCAGAGAGCTGACTCTGGCTCTAGGTCACCTAAGTTCAGGTTCTGCCCTCTGCTCATTAGCTGTGGGGATTTGATCAAGTCAGTCCCTCTGCACTTCTCTTCTGTAAAATGGGCTTGATAATAGTACTAAGAATAGTGATTTTTTTTTTTTATTGTTTTATTATTCATATGTGCATACAAGGCTTGGGTCATTTCTCCCCCCTGCCCCCACCCCCTCCCTAAGAACAGTGATTAACTCATCAGTGTGTTCAGTAAATGGTACCTTCTCTGGTCGTTGTTTTATTCCCCTGGCATTAACAGTCGTGACTCTGTGTGTGTGTGCATTTGTACACATTGCACAAGCACACACACACACACAAAGCAGTCTCCATTACTCAGTTTCACTTATTGCAATTTCAGTTACCTTCTGTCAACCAGTCTGAAAATATAGTACAGTACAAAAGGATACCGATTTACTGGCTTATTGATATTAAGAGAGAGAATCATATTCACATAACTTTTATTATGGTATGTTGTTACAATTCTCCTATTATTGTTGGTAATGTGCCCAATTTATAAATTAAACTGTTATATGGATGTGTAGGAAAAACCCATAGCAAATATGGGTTCAGTACTAGCTACAATTTAGGCAGTCCCCTGGGGGTCTTGGAACACATCCCCCGCAGATGAGATGGGACTGCTAACTAAGAAGACTGAATTTTACACTCCAGGTTCCAATCTGCCCATCCCTTTAGACTTACCTTGCCTTTCTGGACAGCAGCAACTGTTAAAGTATGGCAGCCCTTCCCGTCTCCAAGCTAAGCAGTTCTTTTTATGCACCTTTACTTCCAAGGGAGCAAATTGCTGTGACGTATTACCACATACAGCCTGTAGTCAACCCTCTGTCTGTCTCTATCATTTCACTATGTCACAGTTGCCTCCTGCTCTCCCACTTGTTCTTCCTCTCTCGGGAACATTCCTTTCCATCATTCTTAGTAATCCAGCATTCTTTCTGACCTAGTTCAAGTAGGTTTGTTTTGTACAAACCTGATTTGAACTCTTCTCGTTCTCTCCTTTGCCCTCCAGGAATGCAATTCCTTTACAGCACTTACCGCACCCTAGTACCTTGTAATCCAGTCACATGCTGCGTGTTGTTTTGGTCCACCGTGGACATGCATGTGCTGGTGATCTCATACAGCCTAGGCATGTTGTAAGCTACACCATATAGACTGTGTAAGTCCAGTCCAAGAATTGTGCACACCAAAGTCACCTAACTGCATTTCTCAAAATTAGCCTGTCACTAAGCAATGCATGTCTGTAGTAGTTATTCGTATAGATGACATCCCTGGCCAAACCTTTCCTCTGTATCCCCATTACTCCCCTTTCACACCTAATTATTGTCTCCCCAGAGCTCTTGAAATATCCTATGGTATCGTGTATGGCACATAGTGACACTAAATAGAAAGTGCATGTACTCAACACCCAACTTCAACGACCGTCAACCGTCTTGTTTCATCCAGCTTCACCATCGTCTCTCATAGTTTTTTCTATTGCTGGAATATCTTAATGTGAATCCCACACAGGTTGTATCTTCTGGTAAATATTTCAGGTGTGTCTAACAGATAAGGGTTTTTTAAAAATACTGTGTACCACAATTAACCCACCTAGTGAAATTACAGCAATTCCTTACTATCACTAATAAAGCGGTTCGCATTCTGTTTTCCCATTGTCTTGTAAGTGACCTTTTATAGTTGACTTGTTTCCGTCAGTATCCAGACTGGTCTGTACATTGCATTTGATGCACTGGCTTCTTAAGTTTCCTTTAATCTATTACAGTTTCCCCTGCTCCACTTTTTTTTTCATATGATTTATTTATTTATTTTTTTAAAGAAACTGGGCAATTTCAACACTGGAATTTCCTAAGTAAATTTTCTCTCTTCCTCTCTTTATTTGTAGCCATCAGCCTGTGCAGACGCGGCCAGAGGCTCTAACATCAAAATTTGTTTCTCAGTCGGGCCTTAGCACCAACTCTTGGAATGGATATGAGGTATTTAGTTGTTACTTGATTGGTGGGTGGATCCTTTAATGGTGGGATGAAGAATTTTGTTACAAGTGTACACTTGTTTATTTGAATGAATGAATTGGCTTCTCCAAAATTCTGGAATTCAGGTTCAAAGGCAGACTTTAAAGTGTGATTGAGTTGCTTCCTCTGAGAACAGTTGACCTTTAGGACTTGTCATCATTTTCAGGGTTCAGTCACACGTGATCTCATCCTGGCAGATCCTTACGACAATCCTGTAGGGTAGATCATAGTATCTGTTTTACAGATAAGAAAACTGGAACCCAGAGAGTAACAGTCACTCAGTTTAGGGCATCTCACTTTGTCACCTTGCCTGGCTGGGGCAAGGCCATTCCTGACCATATGAGCTCCTCTAATTCCTATGTCACCATGCTGGTTTTGGAGCTTTCAGCAAAGAACTTGCCAGATCTCTGGACTAAATCAGACCCCACAAGGTACCTCCATTTGTCCTTAGGCATATGTTTTGTTAATTTTGAGTCAGCCTGAGCCGACAGGCCCACTGCCTAACTGTTTACCACTGGATTGAACAAATAGCCAGATGTGGATATGCTAAGACAGCCTGTCCCATCTGCTGCCTAAGACTGACAGTGATTCTCCCAGAGTGGGAGGCCACACATGTGGGTGCAGCATGCTTTCAGGGTTTCCTGTTTCACATTTGTATATTTAATTTTTTTTTTTAGTTGTTGGAGCTCAATAGCCAGTGTCAGGATTATGACATAATAAGCAATTATTTTAAATTATCCATGAAAAATTTCAAGATTGAAAAGATAAAGAAGATCGAGAACCCCAAACTTCTGGACACTTTCCAAAGGTTGGTGGCCATCTTGTCGGGTTTCCTTCCATAAAAGCTGGATGACTTCAGATGTGTCCTTCAAGGTTTATATTTACTGGTTTCTTTTAGTAGCCAACAATTTCTTCTGTCTCTAATTGTTCTTTCATTGTGGAAACTTGAGCGTCCCTCTTTTAGCTTTCTGGTTTAACAATTCAATGATTTTATCTCTTTATCATTTAAAAGTTTCATAGATTTATTATTTTATAGTGGTTGCCTTCTTTTTGGGGAGGGGAGTACTGGAGTTTGAACTCAGGGCCTCACGCTTGCCAGGCAGATGCTCTATGGCATGAACCACCCCGCCAATCTCTAGAGTGGTTGCCCTAAGTTTTCCATTTTGAAAGAGGATGCAATTTGGGGAGTGTTCTTAACTTTGGAAATGTCCTTGGTGCTAAGTCTCACATTTCCCTATTTTAGGAGGAAAAAGATGATGAAGAACCAAGAGGAGAAACTCCTGTTCTATGCGACAAGCCGTGCCCATGTGGATTCTATCTGTGCAAATAATTTCGACTGGCTCCTACATGGAGCTCATGAAAGCAAATACGGGAAAGGTTTGTGCTAACTAGTAGGGTCACACTCCATTTCCAGGTCTACACATGCTTCTGTGAAGAGGTAGATGGAACGATTTTGTGTTCACTAGCATGTCCAGGCTTTAGCAGGCATGGAAAGAAAATAAGCTCACAGTGAACATCAATGCCTGTGTTAACATGGTTCCATTGACTTGGGGCTCTAGTGTGGGGCCTTAGCCCTGCTCTTGTCTCCTGTTTTCTTCTCAGAGTGACACTTGCTTGAGATCTGCTCCATCTGTTGGCTGGCCTACTGCCCTTACTACTCACCAGAGATGGCTCTTCCTGTCCCAGGTTGCTGCAAAGTCATTCAAAGTAGCCACTGGTGGGCTCTAGTGAAGGATGGGAGAAGATGCCCCCCACCACTAGGCCACCTCTTAAAAGGGTCCACACCTCTTAATACTGAACCAAGCTTCCAGCTTGAATCCTTGGTGGGATACACTCAAACCATTTTTAAACCACAGCACTTGATAAAAGGAGAGAGTTGTTGGCAGCCCGTGTAACATCCCTTGTGCTGTGTGAAGAAAAGAGAGAGCAGCCCACTTCATAGTTCTCACAGGACAGATGAGGTGTCTCTCTGAACCCTTTCCCTCTTTCCCCATGCCGCCCTTCTTGTGAAGGTCAACAGGTGATGGATTGTTCATCTTGGCCTGTCTCCCGTTGTAGAGTTAGGAGGTGTCTTGCTTTGTTTTGTGTTTACTTTAGTGTCAGTGTTCATCCCCATCTCTCATGACGCTTTTAGTATGGACTACATGAACTGGTATGGGACCTGGGCCCATAATCTTAAAGGTCAGGTAGTTTTCCTAAAAGAGGCCAGTTATAGTTATCTACACGCAAAGATGCTTCTGTTCTCTGGAGGGAAGAAAAGCTACTAGTGAGTATGTGAAGCTAGTCCATTAGGCTGTTGTTTGGTATTTGAGGGTGTTTAAGGGGAATGAGAGCGTAAGGCATGCCTGAGAAGACAGAACCCAAATAAACTGGGGGAGGAGGCTAGGAATCTGAAGGAAGAGGGAATATGATAGTAGAAGGCAGGTTCATAAGAGTCCACCAGAGCAAGGAAGCTGGGCCAGAATCGATCATGGGTCTAGACTAGAGACAGGAATTGTAGCCATTAGGGGAAATCCCTCAACTCAACAACCAGAGGAGAGTGTGAACTCAGTGCAGGTTTGGACAGCACAGTAAAGCAAGGTGAAATTAGAGAAGGGAGTGTGCGTGAGAATGGCAGCTAAGGAACTAGGACCTGCCCTGGTCTGGTTCATACTGGATTCTAGGAGCCACGTGGGAAGCATGGAGGCCAGGGGACATTTAACACCAAGGACACTGTGGGATCCCATCTCTACCCTCTCTCTACATTCTGCAGATACTGCATTTCCAGACTTTTTTGTTGTAGGTTATTTTTCAGATAGGGACTTGTGCTTTTGCCTTAGCTGTCCTCAAATTGTGATCCTCCCAATCTCTGCCTTCCATGTAGCTAGGATAACAGGGATGAGTCACTGCATCCCACCTTGATTTTACACAGGGAGTGGGACTTAGTTTTCCTCTCTGGGTGCCTTCCTCTCTGACTTCTTTCCTCTTCATACACTCTGGGCCCAGGGTCCCTGAATGGCTGGGTTAGAGTCAGGTTGGCCCTTTCTGACTCAACCTGGAAATGGTGGTTCCTTCTCAGGGCCTGATTCAGAGTTTTTTCTAGTTAGCAAAACCTATTTTTTTTTTTTTTTGCAGTGGATTTCTAAATCCTGTTTTGGTCAATACAAGTTGACCAGGATTCTTTCTTTCTCTTTGCATTCATTCTGATAATTTTAACTCTCCCTGAGGCAAGAATGTGTCTGGCCAAATAAAAGGATGGTTTTATATATAAGTAGTTATAAATAAGGAATTGTTTTTTGAGACAGGATCTCATTATGTAGCCCTGGCTGGCCTTAAAGTTGTGATCCTACTCCGGAGTCCTGGAATTACAGGTGTGAACCACTACACCAGGAGCTCAACATTTTTAATAATATTTTCTCATTACATCAATTACATTGAATTTTTTTTTAAAAGTAGATTTCAGAAAAGCAGCATGTTGCACTTGCTAGGCAGGCGCTCTATGGCTTGAGCCATGCCTCCAGCTCTTTGTGCTCTGGTTGTTTTGAAGACAGAGTCTTGCTTTTTTCGCTCAGGATGACCTGGACTACAGTCATCTTATTTTACATTTCCCACAGTATAACAGCTTTTTTTCTTCTGAGATGAGGTCTTTCCAACTCTTTTGCCTGGGCTGACCTGGCCTAGAACACTGAACTTTCTGATCTCAACCGATTGTGTAGATGAGATGACAGGCATGTGTCACCATGCCCAGTAGTGGCTGAGATGAGGTCTCACAAACTTTTTGCCAGGTCTGGCTTCAAACCAAAATCCTCCAGATCTCAGCTTCCCAAGTAACTAGAATTAATTATAGTCATGTGTCACCACTGCCTGGCTACAGGTGAGGGGTTTTTTTTGGGTTTTTTTTTTTTAACTTTAAATACAGTAGAGCATTTTTTACCAGAATATTCAATATCTGATCAGATAAACAATGTTCCTGGAGTTCAAACATCTTACTATAAAAATAATAACAAATATAATATATGAATAACATATTAAATATTTTTTTTACCAGAAGTCAAACACTCATATTATGTATTGATTTTTGCATGGAAATCAGCTTTTGCAAGTACATATGCATTTTTCTTTAAAATGGCAGAGACGCACTTGGCAATGAGAGGAATAAACAGGACCATTTCGTAGATCAGGAAGTTGTTGGCCTGCTGGGTGTGTAGATCTCTGTGGTTACCTGGGGTGCGTTCATGTTGAAGACAGTGCATCAGCTGTCTGGCCCAACTCCTTGCCCGTGCTTCTCTCTGATCTTCTCCAAGCCCCTCCCATCGGTAGTAAACGACCTTTGCTCCTTCAGATGTATGTGGCATAAAATCTTCTCTGAAGGATCTTTGGCCCATCACTTCCCACTCAGCTCTCCTTTCGTGAGCTGCATGGATGGGGCCCCTGTGATGTCACATGTGTTGTTGTACCCAGTGGCTCCCGCCATGGCTGTGAACCCCACAATCCAGCAAATGTTTCTCTGTCACTTCAGTGGGGATTCCATACGATATTCAAGTGCATTCGTGTCACAAACATAAAAGTGCAAAGGAAGGCTTCTTAAGTACTGGTAAGGTATTGTGACATATACGTAGTTCACACCATCATCTGATTGTCTGTAAATAGACTTAGACACTACGTGCCCTTTTTTTGTAGTATTCTCAACCTTCTTCTATTATTTCTAGGACACTACTTTGCAAAAGAAGCCATCTATTCCCACAAAAGTTACTCGTGTGATGCCAAAAACACCGTTATGTTTGTTGCCCGTGTCCTGACTGGAGATTTTATCGAAGGAAATATGATGTACACGAGCCCCCCTCTACAGTACGACAGCTGTGTGGACAGGAGAATGAATCCTTCTGTCTTTGTCATCTTCCACAAAGATCAGATTTACCCGGCATATGTGATTGAATATTCAGAAACAGATAAAGCCGCCTGTGTGATTAGTTAGAAATGATGAGTATCACGAATACCAGAAGCCATGCAGGGATCCTCCTGCGCACCTATAGGACCAAATCACCCCAGACAATAGTTAAGAGTTTTACATTCCCTGGTCAGGTTATCTAATGCCTTAAATCAGTGGCTCCTGAACTTTGCTGCACAAAAATTCCAATGCCCAGGTAGCATCCCTTCCCCAGTAAGTCACTCCTAGGCATGAGAATCCCACAGTGCTGTTTATTAGCGCCCACCCAGTGAATCCAGTGTTTTGGAATGTTTTTATTGTCTTAGAGGTACCTGGTGAAGGCTGATTTCTAAATTTTCTGTAATGACATCAACCTTTCTTTTATCTACTCTTGAGTTTATTGTACAGCATGTTTTCGTTTTGGTTAAATTGAAAGAAAATTAATTTGGGAAATTTGAGAGAAATCTAATAACACCCATTGAAATAAGAACGTGAGACATTACAACCTAAGGTGAAAGATTAGCTGAGAAAAAGTTAAGCATTAAATTTCCGTGGCATTCCAAACATAACTGCAGGGCTGAACCTGTCATGTAACGCAGCTTATTTGGGGCACGCATTTCTCTAGCTCTACGTTTATTTAGAAGACAGATTGAATGGAGTAAGAGCCTCCACTTATGGCCCAGGCAGAAACAACCAACTGGAGTTAATGGCCCATTTGGGTTTTTCATGGAATCACGGAAAGATAGACATTTATGATCTGGTTAGTGTGATTATAGAGAAAGCTTTCTTCAGGTCAGTCTTTCATGAAAGAGTGGTATTTTAGGAGGACTGAGTTGCAGTAACCAGATGCATACAAGCATGACTGATAAACCTGAGTGCTATTTTAGTCGTTTTGGGGTAGATGAGGCTCAGCCGGAGGGGAGGAGCAGGGCCATCCCTATGGAAGGATGGGACTCGACTCCTAAGGAGGCTGGATTTGTTTTCTTCCTTCTGCACAGAAGCAGAACAAAGAGAACAATGTCTCAACCAGACCTTGTGTCTGCAAGGCTTCTGCTCATAAATATAACGGATTGTATGAATTTTAGTAGAGTCAGTGTTTAGAGCAATATTTCCTTATTATGATTCAAGTTTTTCCCCCAGTTTTCCTTTTCCAACATCCCTTCCAGTTGCCCAAATTTCCTGTTACAGTTCCTTCCAGCAGACATGTTCAAAATAATTAGCATTAGAGTTGACTTTTCTATCAGTCAGATTTTAGATCAATACAAAAAGTTGCAAAATTCCTTGGTCTAAAGGTTTCTACCAGTCACAAATGTAGTTTTTTTTTTTTTAAAGAGTAGGGTTCTTTTCTGGGAGGCTTGCCATGAATAGTTAATTCTCATTCACTTCAATTTTTTTTTTTTATGGCAGCTTCCACTTTGGAATGTTTTCCTGACCTTGACCCTCACACTGTAGAGTGCAATTTATCCAAGTGCCCATTAGACACCTCGAGTTAGATGTTTGCTGGGTGTCTCTGGTTGACCACGTCCACAGTGGAACTCTCTATCTGCCTCCCTGTCAAAGGACAGAAGCAAATCCCAAAGTCATCCTTGACTCCTTGCTTTCCTTCCCCGCTATACACTAAATCATTTGTAAGTTCCGTTTTTACCTCTTAAATATTTTTCCCCCTATTAACTTGTTCATTACTTAGCAGTAAGATTGGTCATATTTTTAAAGTTGTATTTACTAGTGGCTCTTTTAAAACACAAATAAGATCATACCCTTAAGATAAAGTTCAGAGTCATAATGGCCCCACGTGACTCTTCTTTCCTCCCCTTGGCACTTACGTTCTTCCACACAAGCCACTCCAGTTGCCTTGCAGTTTCTGGTATCCTTCTTGCCTTGCTTAATCCTAGTTTGATGGTTCTCAGTGGCCACTTCTACCTTTTTTGTTATTGTTAAAATGCAATTCAGAGGTAATATACTAACTACAACACAATTGTAGAAATAAAATTAAATAAAACTAAGAAGATCTGAAAGGCACATAACTTGGGCACAACTTTACAGTACTAAATGACATAAGTCGTCAGATGCCTACACCTACTTACAGTGGGTAAATATGACCTTAAAAGAAAGTAGGAGATCAGAAGCTATTGTGTACAAGAAAATGGAAAGCAGAGCTGTGAGTGGACATTAGAATAAAAAAGTAGTGATGTGATTTATTTGCATATGATAGTACTTATGGATATGTGATAAGAGAACGAAGTAACCTTCCATGAAATATACTATGCAAGAGAATGTCCAGACTATTAAAACAGAAAATTAAGACATACTACATTCTTGCAGACGAGCTGTTGGTCTTACTTACGTGAATGTCTAGTGAGACATTCAAAAGTCGTATAGGGTGCAGAACAATTTCTTACTGTGAGAAAGCGTCCAACGTATTGCAAGACTTCCAGCATACTTGGCTCTCACATGCTAAATGCCAGTAGCGACCCTCCCTTGTCCCTGTCCCCAAGCTTGACAACTACAAGCCCTGTCAGACCTGTTCACCCTTTTCAGAGTAGGAATTTTGTAACATCCCCTTTGCTGTCCTAAGATGATTCTTAGGAGTACAATCTACACATGAATTTCTTTAAAAATTAATTTATGCCCTAACTCTTTAATGGAGACATAGAAGGTAAGAACTTTGAAAGGAAAATAGAATGAATTACCATATGCAAATACTCAGGCATGACTATGCTATAATCCATGAAACAGATACTTATTCTTAAATGTGAACTTAAGAGTCGAGTAAGGGCTACTTCCTGTAAAGAAGAACAGGAAAGTCATAACAAACCATATACCTTACCTGTCTGTGTTAAAGGAGAGGCCGAAATTACCTTATTGAAATAAGGATAATAGGGCAGGACAAATGACAGATCGTCTCAGAGGAAATCAATGCATTCTGTTCTCTCAGACGAGCTGCAGGTCCTACATAGATGTCCAGCAGGACATTAGACAGTCGTACAGTGCAGGACACCTGTTCTGCACCTAGCTGTGTTTGCTCAGTGCCGGTTACTGTCCTCAGTTATGAAGCCAACAGCAACCTGTCCTTTTGCAATATTCCACACTGAGAACCACTTTAATGTTCAGCACCCTTAGATTAACTCAGCTGTCACCTCCAGAAGGAGTCCTATAGACTCTGTCCCAGCCTTAACTCCTCAATCCCCAGTTTTTAGAATACTTGGTACCTTGATTTGGGTACTTTTAAGCATCTATCCAACCTGAAATTGTCTCCTTCCTGTATTGTAATAAAAGCTCTGAGTTGATCTATTGTTCATTCTGCCGCATCTGATGCCCTCCTAGTTGGGTGCTTGATACACAAATACGCTGGATGAAGCTAACAGTAAGCTCAACTACTTGTATTTCAGTAGTTGAATTTTATTGCTTCTTGTTCTTGTTTGCTTAATTTGAGACTACTTAATAAAAAGAAAAAAAAACTGATTTGGTTCCACTGCATATTTTTTTTGCTCTACGTATAGGTATCTCCAAAAAGACAATGACTGCAGACACCCGTTTCTTATTCCTGGAGCAGTGTAGGGCAAGGCAGGGTGGTGATGGAGAACTCCCCTCCTCTGCTCTGAAGGAGGTAAGAGGGCCAGACTAGGGCAGAATTTAAAGTACCTAGTTGTCAGTAAAAAAGCACGTCTGGAAGGAGATTCCAAGATGGTGGCTAGAGGGAGGAAGCAGAAAGCATGCTTCCTAAAGTAAAATCTTGGAGAGTCACTACAGCTACACCTTACAGGAAAAATCCACCGAAAAGAGGCAAAACTTTGACTCTGCCACCCCCCAGCCCAGGCATAGCATCCCCACTTCATGTTAAATGGAGAAACCAGGAGGGCTTTCACCCCGTGACCAGATGCCAGCACCCAGACCCCTTGAGAAGACGCAGACCACAAGGTGAGCTAAGCAGCATGTGGTACTCCCACAGACAGTCCTGGGCCAGATCAGCATAGCCCCCCTGGACAGACTGACCCCCACCCAGGGAAAAAAGAGTGAAAAACTGAATAATAAGCAATAACAAAAAAGACACATAGCAAAGAGGGCAGGGTGCTCTGAACACTGAAGGAGCGGGAGGGGCAAACCCTCATGGAACTGTAAATAAACAAGCCGGCTAGAGAAGGCAGGAGTGGCAGCACACGCCCAGCAACCAGGAGTGGGAAAGCTTGTAAAAGTGGCGGTGGGAGGAAAACTCCACAGGAGAGGGGGGAAGGCCCACTTCCCATGTGAATTGTAAATAAATAAGCCGGCTGGAGAAAGCTGGTGCAGTGTCACCTCCCCCAGTGTGCTTGGAAAGGTGGAAGCTTGTAGCAGTGGCAAACTTGCCCAGGAGAACTCTGATTAAACAAAGCCTGTGGGATGAGGTGAGTGTTAAGCTCACTACTGAGATCTGCATAAATAAAGCCTCCAGCAATAGCAGGCTGACAGCAGCAGACAGGTGAGCCACAGCCTCAGATAGACATTCACAGAACTGTCTACAGACTTTTTTTTCCTCCCTTCCTTTGATGAGACAACAACCAAACTACACCTGCATGCTGAAAAACTTACTGAAACTCTATTGCATTTGAACTTGGGACACTTTATGGTGTTTTGTTTGGTTTGGTTTGGTTTTTTCCCCTTTGATGAGACAATAACAGAACTACTTCTGAGACATCATCTCCAGGATTGGAGGCTGAGGGACTAACACCAAAATTATTAAGACTAAAACTTTATTGCATTTGAACTTGGAGACTTATTTATTTATTTTACTTTTATTTTTATTATTTTATTTTATTTTATTTTTTTCTCAATCCTCTGTCTGTCTCTCTAATGCCTGTTCAGCTTACTGTTGATTAGTACACTATCTCTCCCTGTTTATATCTTTGAAGTTTTTGTTTGTTTCTTTGTTTTGTTTTGTTTTACTTGTTTGTTTACTTCTTTTTCCCTCTTTAACTTCTTTGCTTTCCCTTCATAACCTTCCATTCTAAATATCACCATTGTTATCATTACAAGCTAGAAAATACTTAACTGCACACAGTCAAGGACAATAACAACACCAAGGGCAATGACGGGAAGAAAGAAAAAACAGGGAAACCAGTTCCCACACAGCAAAAAATTAGTACAGGACCCAGAGGGAAATGAAGAAAACAGATACTCAGATCCAGACTCCAACAAAATGAAGATAAACTATGCCAAAGAACCCAATGAAGCCCACAAGAATAAT